GATAATTTCATGTTACTCAGGTGTTTGGTCTGAGCAGTCGTGGTAAAGCGATGTGAGTCAGTTCAACCGGGGAGACGAGTGTTCGGATTTCATCGCCGTTGCTTAGGAATTCCATTGTGTTGATCTCCGTGGCTAATCCTTCGTCGTTTATTCTTCCAGGAAAATTAAATGGATGACTATCTATGCAATCAAAGGTATTAAAAGGTTACTACACAACCTGGAGTTACTCATTCATCAGCTGTGGAAACTGCTTTCAAACTGTACTGCCGGTCAAATATTACCTCAGACGCACGCACTTGGAATCGACATGGATGTCTGAACAAAATCTGAGATAACAATCTTTCGTAAGCAATCGAAACATCGCTGGTGTCTTAAGCTCCGAAAGGGTTGAATGTTTCGTACTGGACAGTGACACATTTTGATCAACCCAGGGCTTCGTTCACTCAAACTAGTGGTTAAAACAAGCATCTTGAGCGGTTCACGACACCCATTGCAGTGATTCGTTCACATTTTCTCTGCTAATATACTACTGAAAATTCAACGTTCGGCGATCAAGCCTTTACTAAAACTCCATATGTGGTCTCTATTGATTGGTCTGTTCTATTCTACTATGTAGACTTGATACTTGATATGCAAATAACTAAAACGGGAAGAAGTCAAATATCCTGCTCTTACTGATATATACACAGGAACGTGACGCAATTTCATTTGAAAAACAAAAAAGTAAAATTTATATTTCTATGACACCTTGACAACGGATCAGCAAAAGTCCGTTTCACGGAACTGGGCCATACCATAACGATGACGACCACTGTGGTTGAAAATCATGAAGTACAGCTGCTTCGTGCAGTGCAGGCAGAAGAACTGGTGTGCGCAAACGCGGCAAACAGGGCCAAAAACTCACCCCCCCTCTCTCTCTCTCTCCTTGCCCTTATAGACCAAAGCAAAGCAAACAAATATGCCAGATCGGTGACTAGGTGTGAATCATCCCGGAACGTAGCATCACATCACACACCATTTCCCCCACCCCCGAGATGTACGGTGCAAAACCAGCGACAGCGGGAAGGAAAACAGCAGAGTAGCGAACACTCATACGTACGTATACCAAACCAAACCAAACCCGTGCAACCAAGGTGTGGCCGGTATGGCAGACACGGTGTGGTGGGCATTTGCTAACACATACACACGGAACGCACATCGACGCGCCCACACAGATTGATCGACTTGATCAATACGATCGAACAAGTGATGGAACGGCCTGCCTGCACGCACTCGCAAGGCTTTTTTAGGAAGTCCATTCGTTGCCATCTGCCCGAAGACTCTGTGCGTGTCTTTTCGCGTGCGATGTCGCACACCTTCGTTGTCTTCGTTGTCGGGATAACACTGTTCCGCAGGGGCTGGCTCGCCCACGCGTCATGCCATGTGGCGGTCGATATGATCGATCGGCAACACAAGCGTAGCTGTTGATTGTGTGCTACACACACACATCTAAGAACACGCTAAAATGGCGACAGAAGACAGTCCGGGAAATATGTAGGATGTGCGTCCGCGCGCGCGCGAACGATGTCATACAGGCGGGCGACCACAACAGGAGCACAACGTGCAGTGTGCACCCGCGGTCTGAAATAATGCAGAGACTGTTGTCTGATTTGACTGGGGATGCGTAACTTGTGTGCACGCGCGCGCGTGCCCAATTATACCCGTTTGTGCAAGCATTGATTAACTGCGTTCGATCAACCAATCAATCAATGACACGAATAAGGATTGCGGGTGCAATCCACTCAGCTGGTTCTCGTACGGGCCCACGGACTACGACACAGTGCGACGGGAAAAAACAACTTCAATGGTTTCGCCATCAGACAAACATGAGGGAAATGCAAGTCAGAGAATTGAATGATGACGGCATGTGGCGACATGCATAAGATCAAAAATAAGGAGACTCAGTAGTATTTCTGTTACCCATTTCGTGCGTACATCTCACGACGAAAATATTGCATCCAATATATTTATGGATTATCTACACTTTCAGATGCACGATCATCACCATTATTGCGAATCTAGACAGCAACTGAATGAAAGGTTGAAATATGGAACTGCATCATATTACCTTCAAGTTTAATGAAAATGTAAGGGGGCAAAACAGAATTTTCACCCAGACAAAAGTATTGAGACCTCCCTACCCACTCACACATAAGGAATTTACCCGTATAACTGTATAACATGTCGAATGATGGTCGTGGCAATAGTATTCCATTCCGTAATCAACAATGCCTCTAATTCGTTTTTGTGGTATAAACTCCGAAGTGTACATGCATCAATCGGTTAATAATAGCCATAAATGTTTTCTATCGGATTCAAAAATGGGCTGTCGGCAGGTCACGACGTTGTTTTGACGCCACAACACAATAACTAGCATGTTAGACATGCGTAATTAACTACGGTTACATCATGCTCAAGAATGGCTTCAGGACGTCCAATCGATGAGACCGCTAACAAAAGGTGTCACTCCAAAACGAATATATATAT